TACTTTTATTATTTTAACTATTATTTATAATCTGTGGTGTACTGGATGTTAAGAGTTAAAGGAGTAAAACAGAGGGCTCCTGATCTCTTGGAGCTTATGAAATGCAGTTGGTGTATTTAGCCTGTAAGTAAAACCTAAAAAGAATACCAAGAACATATCCAAATATTTGAAGGTTTACCAGGTATGTATTAGGTGAGAAGACCTGTCTGTCCTATGATCTACAAAACACAAAACTAAGACCAATAGGTAGAAAGCAGACCAATTATAGGAAGCAGTTCTTAACTCAAAATAAGAAATGTCTTTAGAGGGAGTGAGTTCCCTGTCATTCTGAAATATTCAATGAGGGAACAGGTAGCCATTGGCCATGATTAATAGAGATGGTTCAGGCGTTGAGAGGCAATTTGCAGTCAATGAGCTTCTAACACTCAGTGAGTGTATGAATCACTGAGTGTCATCTCATGATGTCACTTTCAGAAATTATTGCATAGATTGTCATCCTACCTGAACTGTTGTCAATGTGCATTTATTTTATTTTAAGGATGGGAAGAACCCTGAAGAAGGTCCAAGTCTCTTTCCTTTAAAATAACTACTCTTCTATTTTCTTGTGATTAAGACATTTATTTAAAACCAGCCTTCATAATAAAAAGGCATATAATCACTGGTTCTCTTCAGCCCCTGTCATGACAGATTAGCATTAATAATTTAGAGAACAGCAGCATTAAAAGTAATTACAAACTGTCAGAAAGATACAAGAAATATGACATAGCTCATAGCTTCTTTTCAGACCTCAAATATTATTTGAGGAGAAAAATAATTACATTTTCCTGTTCATTTCCTAATACAAATAACTTAGGAGATTTCATAATTCTTGAAATTTGCAATTAATTCGTTGCCAAAGTAATGTCAGTTTGAAAAAAAGGCCTCTTTAGTCACAAATTTGCACTGTGGAATGATTCCTTAGGGCACATTCCCAATTGCCTTGTCAAGGTTCATTTTAAATGCATTAACATAGCAACATGAATAAATCAACTAATGTATAAAAATATAGATGGTCTAAACTTCCTTTAATTGTGTATGCATTTAGCTCTTTCCCCTCTGCCTCTCTAAATACTATAACCTCTTGATTTAGGTATATCTCTCTATAAATTTCTTAAGATATCAGATTCTAGTATGATTTTTTCCTGCAAACTTTTGTTCAGCCCAAGCCTATTTTGTTCTATATGTCCTATTGAGTGCTGCTTCTTATATGAAAAATGAGAAATGTGTCAGTATTCATTTCTTAATAAAAAACATGCTTTCTTCCATACCTCTCCTCTTTCTGCAATTTTTCTTCTTTATCACATGCACTTTTTACCCTGAGAAGAAAAAAGAACAGAAATGAACATTGTCACCTAAATGCTTATTCTGTATTATTCCAGAGAAATAAGAGGAAAAAAAGTATCATTCACTAGAACATAAACATTAATTTATTACATTTAAAATTTATAATTCATGCAGTTGAACAGATGTATTAGACACCTGTCTTATGGTAGCCATGTCATCTTATATTTTGTTGTTTTATGAAAACAGAAAACTCTTAGAAAAATACTTGCTCAGATTTCAGTGGAATAATTTGACCTCAGGAAAAGATTGTGTGTGGTCAGCAGATTGGAATGGGGGTGTTGGATTGATGCCCATGATCTTTCTACCCTTACAGTGCCTGGCATATTGCAATACACAGAATGCCAGGAGCAGGCCAATAGTGTCACTGGAGTTGCAAAATAGTTATGGGTATGTGAAGGGAATATAGTAAAAACTATTGTAATAAGTATGTATGGTATCAAGTGAGTACTAAGCTTATAGGGGAGATCACTTTTTAAATCATATAATGTGTAACCACCCATGGTGTACACCTAAAACTAATATAAAACAATATTGAATGTCAACTGTAATTGAAAACTAAAAAAGACAATACCCATAAAGTAAAAAGAAATAAATTTAAAAAATAAATAAGGAAAAAAAGAGGAAGAATATTATTACCTTCTTAATATTTAGTGGCCCTAAAAGTCACGATTTTATATGGCATATTCTTTAGGTAGCAGATCGTATGGGTTAGTCTACATACTATCATGTAAAATACCAGTTTATATTTGTGTCAAACAATGGATCAACTTTGTTCCGAAAAAGAGAGCGAATTTCACTCATCAGTATTTACCATAGCATGCACTTATACTTTTGTCCTTTCTTTCATTCCCTCTTGGGTTCCTCTGTGATAGCCTGTCATTTGAGAAAGCTACTCTTCCTATAAAATGGTTTAAAATGACATGGTTGCATTATTTAGGGGTAAGTATACTACATTCTTCATATAAAAAGCCTTATAGTGACATAGATGCATAAACTGTGAGACAAAATCATGTTGTCCTCTTAAAACAGCTAATATAACACAACTAACTCCCTACAAGGAAAGCCTTTAAAAATGCCGCATAATATTATTTATTATACAAGTTGTTCATACCCACCATGGAACAGTAGGGATAAGAAAAACTAGATGATCATAAAGAAGAAAGTAAAAATTCACTATCCAGTGAAATTCACTATCAGCTTAATAAGCTGATGTTTGTCCTTCCAAATTTTTTCATGCATTTGTATCTTTTAAAACAATATTGAATATGCTGTTTAGGACGAACTTTGTTCTTTTAACAATATATAATGGATGTCTTTCCTTATTGACAAAAATATGCATCCTTTCTAATGTCTACAGAGTATTCCTTTTGTAGCTTTGTTTAAGCCATTTTATTTAAGCATGCCCTAACATTGAAAATTCAGATAATTTCTACTTTGTTGCAATTTAAGAATTCAAAGTGGAAATCTATGTAGTTTCCCTGCCTACCTCTTGCACTTATTTAATCTTGTCTAACAGAGCCTCCAAGGGTCTTCCAGGCTTATCAGGGAGTAGCTGCCCAGTCAGAGATAGGATCAAATCAAATTTTTAGTGCTCTGTGTGAACAATGTCTGACCAAAGGAAAAAAGTGAACCAAAAGGATGAAGTTGTAGGCAAAGTCTCCGTGACATTTTACCCTTTCTGCTCAGCATCTCCCCTTTCTGTTAATTCTGTATCAGTAATGTTGGCAATCTGCATAACCCTTTCTCAAGGCAAGTTGTGGATTTTTTCAGGCATAGCTCCTGAAGTAAAAGTTGCATTTAGCCTGCAGGGAACTTAGCCTTGTTAAAGCTACATCTATATATCTCTATCTCTGTATCTCTATGTATATCTATATCCATCTGTCTATGTGTGTATGTACCTGCCTGTCCATATATCTATTTATGATTTGTTTGTCTGTCTAGCTGAAATTTGGAAATAAAGCCAAAAGATCCTAGCATATTCGTTTTTTCCCCCAGGTACAAAATTTTATTTTATTTTTCAGCCTAATTGAGAAATATTTGACAAATAAAATTATAAGATATTTAAAGTGTGCATCATGATGATTTGATACCTTCAAATCCTTTCAATGTCATGCTAATGCTAGAGTACTGACTAACAAGCCCGTGCAAGGGTTATTTGACTTTTCTGGGACAGTGGTTGGCAAACTTTTTCTGTAAAGAGCCAGATAACACATGTTTTAGGCTCTGCAGGCCATATGGTCTGTGTCACAATTACTCAATACTGCTGTTATTGCTTGAAAGCAGCCACATATAGTACGTAAACAAATATGTGACTATATTTCAATAAAACTTTATTTACAAAAGCATGAGACAAACTAGATTTGGCCCATGGGCTTTAGTTTGCTGACCCCTGACCTAGGGGAGTGTAATTTTGTTTGACTTCCATTTACAAATAACTGACAAAGTACACATTGTTTTTGTCTGGCAGAAATACAAATAATTTATGTGAGATAGAAAAATAACCCCAGTGATTATACTTTTATTGCCTTGTAAGACATTAACTAGTTTAGAATCTAAGTTAGCAATCTTTGCTCAGCAATCCTCCTCCTATATGTATCAATTTTTGTAGCCAACTTTGTCATCGTGCTGGTTTTCTCATTGATAAGTTAAATAAAATTTTGGCATGTTCTCATTGTTGTTTTCTTTTTAAGATTTTATTTATTTATTTTTTGAGAAATGGGAAAGGAGGGAGAAAGAGAGGCAGAGAAACACTGATGTAAGACAGAAACATCAATTGGCTGCCTCCAGCACATGCCTCAACTGGGGACTGAACCTGCAACCCAGGCATATGCCCTGACTGGGAATCGAATTGGTGACCATTAACTTTGTGGGATGACGCCCAGCACACTGAACCACAATGGTCAGGGCAGCATGTGCTCATTGTTTATATGAGAATTATGCTTTTAACTTTTTGAAACTTATACTTTCATAGCCTGTACTCCACAGGCAAGACAGCCCTTAAGAAAAGGATTTGGAATGAGCATGGCTGTCAAAGGCCAGCTTGGTCTTGCATCTGCTGCTTTCTGCAAAGAGATATGCGAGGTTTTCTATTGATCTGTCCCTTGCTGTGACCAGATTACTTATTCTTCCCATAGCATCACCCTTTGTCTCTAAGAAGCCCCAGTCTTCAAACACAGGAACATCCTCATCAATAGAGGGATATTCTTGTTTCCATACATTTGTGACAGCTGTGCTAAGTTCATGCTGTGGCCAGTGGAATAGTTCCATTAGCAACTCAGGAAGAGTAACACATTTAACTAGATTATTTTTTAAAAATCTTCACATTTTTTTACTCTTATGATTTCCTCATGGAAATAGAACCAAGCCTGCTCATCCTTTCAGAGTTTAGCAGAGGACCTGGAGCTCAGGGTCCTGCTGCAATGCACACCGCCTTAGGGCTTTACTTTACTTCCAGGGAGAGTGAAAGTGCGCAATGTCTCCTTCTGGCCATGATTTTGGTCTTTTCCCCTTCCTCCCTCCCTCCCTCCCTCCCTTCCTTCCTCTCTCTGTTCCTCCTTCCCTCCCTCCCTCTCTTTTGCTCTCTCTCCCCCTCCCTCTCTCCTTCCCTTCCTTTTTAAAAAAGTGCATTGTTTTTAAAGAGGCAGTTCAGTTGAGAGCTGAAGAACTCCAGTTATAACAAGTCCTTATGCTCTAGCACTGTTGCTTGGCTGGTGAAGCTACAAAAAAGACACCTCAGGTTCAAAAGCAGTGCTTAGTCCTGTCTTTCCTATCAGTCCACCAGTGGTGGGGGAAAAAGCCACACCAAGCTGGCCAATTTAAAGTAGTATGCTGATTATATACCCTTAAAGCACTTTCCTCTAAGTTTCCCCTTCCTCCCTCCCTGCCCATCACCTCTCTGAAGGCCACCCATAGTGACATCCTTTTTTTTCCCCCTTCTCTGGTCAGCTAAGGATCTATCTTTGCTCCCTTATCTTGCCTTGTTCAGGAATGTTAGCTATGTGGAGGCCTGATTTGTTTCGTCACCTCCTTCACCTTCCCAGGACCTTTACTCCACTGTTTTCTTACCAAGGTCAACTCTAATCCCTTCTCTCAGGAGTTTGCTCCTATCTATGTAGCAAAGATATGCAACACTGTGAGGCACAGAATGTCACATTCTTTTAGTTTCTCAAATCAAGTTTAGTCCACCATAGCAGAAAATTCAATTGTTGTCCTTACCTGAGCTACTTCTACTTTCAAACCTACCCCACAGGGTCATATAATGGCCCAGGATATCTTTGCAGGGCAGCATTTTTGGGGAAAGGTCCATTTCTCTTTGGCCTACACAGATTGCCACTTAGAGGCTCATTATCCCAGCCCTGATGTTCACTTGAAGGCAAAGTCCTGAGGCTTCTGCACCAAGCTTGGGCATGGAACTGTGATTTTCAGTGCTAAAGCTCTTACTGTTCAATTACTACCCCAGACACTGACAGTCACCCAACATGGACTAGCCTTTGTGGGAACCCCAAAAGACTTTGTCCTTGTTGTCTTGTTAAATAGAAATTCACTTATCCTCAATTCAAGTTACTTGTAGAAGTCCCAGCAACTTTCTCTTCTTCTTTCTGTTCAGTATAAGCCACTCAACATTCTTAGGAGAGGAAAGACTTTTGAAAAAAGAATAGCTGGGAAGAAGGTTATTTTCTCTGTCTGGCAAGGCTATTTCTGGTTCTGGCCCACAAAAACACATTCAAGGCAATGTTATTTGAAGACATGGCTACTTTTGCAAAAGAAACCTAACTTGAAGCAGTGAGAACAAAACACACATTTATATCTTATCACCTTGATTCGTGCCACTTGTTAGCTGTGTGACCTTGGGCAGGTATTATTTCCTTCTTCTATAATTTGGGGATCATAAAAGTATCTGCCTTCCTACTTGTTAGGGTTGTTTTTAAAGATTAAATGAGCTAATAGAAGTAAAAATACTTAGAACAGTGCTATAAAGTACTAGCTATTGTTATTATCAGCTCATTATTTTTCCTGTGACATTTTGTGAGCTGTCCATTTTATATCATGCTGTCACATCTTAGTTAAAGCTTTCAATGTCAGCACCTTGTATACCCAAAATTACCTCCAAATTTTTCAAGAGATTAGTCATCATATTTCTTCTTAAGTCCAACCCGGCCAGCTTTTCTGCCAGCCCTAAATCCAATTGTGTTGTCTCTGGTTGAGCTCCAGACACAGGCTTTGCTTACAGATTTATACCTCCCCTCTCACAGTCAATCTGGAGCCAGGCATTCATTTAGTAAAAAACTGCAGAATCATCCATACTGCTTCATTTTTTTTCTCTCTCTTTGTGTTGAGTATGTGTGGTTAAATTCATATAAGTTAAACATGAAGAAGGTCTGCCTCCAAGGTTGCTTGAAATCCATCTCATCCTAAGCACAACCAGACAAAAAATTGAAGTCCCTTTCTATTTCAGAGGACCTTTGCAATACCATTGACTAGACAGGGCAGAGAATGAAAAGTTCAAAGAATCCCTCTTTGCTACCCTCATGATGCTCACAAAAGCAAATCATCTTGCTTCTCTATTAGGATAGTAACCAAAGAACTTCACTGAAGTTTCACATCTCTGTTGTCACAATCCTTGATAAAATCTATGAATGCTTTATACTGGGCATTGAAGTGAATGTATTATATAGGATGTTCTTCATCTTTGGTAGAGGGTATACAGGGATTATTCAACTTTGTGTTGTTATTAAGCATCACCTATAGTCTCTGCTCATATTATGATAGCCTCTTCTAAAGGAGACAATGCAGGCAAATGTTAGCCACAAACATTTGAATAGGGGGGAGAAACATGACAAAATGGTACACTGGACCTAGAACACAGAGATTTTGTTTTTCTCCTGCCTTTGTCACTTATCAACTGTGTGGTCTCAAGTGATTCCTTTCTCCTCTCTGAGACTTATTTTATTTTTAAATCTGTAAGAGGACAGTATTGTACATGATGACTTCTCAGCTCTACTGGTCTATATTCTGTGATTCTACTTAATCAGCATAAACTTTTGAAACCTTCCTATTACAGGAATGATTTGGGGAATGGGACCATAGAATGTTAACTGTTTCTTGGGCACAGTCACCTGGTGTAGACAGGGTGGTAATTTCAGTTTCCCTTCGAGAACCACTTCTGCTCTAATTTTTATTTGTGTTATTAGGTGGCATTGAATTCACAATCTCATCTGCAAGCATTATTCTGTGCCCCTTGTCACAATGATTGGTTGAAGCACAGGCATGTGACCCATTTTTGTTCAATGGGTCATTTTTGTCCAATGACCCATTTTGATGAAACTATTGGAAAGAGTTTTTCCTCTTCTGGCATTGGTAAACAGGTAAGCCTAGGGTTGGTGATGGCCTTCTTTGATATAATATGGAGAGAGTGTGCAGGGAAATGAGATTTAAAAATGAGGCACACACAAATACAGAGACAGACAGACAGACATAGAATTAGAGAGATAGTATCCTGCTGGCATGTTAAGTCCCTCGATCCTGCCTTTTCCTGACTTTACAGTTACAAGAGCCACTAAATAAATACCCTTTGCTCAAACTGTCTTGAGTTAGAGTTTTGTTAATTGCAACTGAATGATGCTGACTAACACACTCAATGCTTCCATTGAGATGTGGAACAGAAGAATTTGCTTGCCTCTAGATGGCATGGGTTGAGGCTTGGGAGTGAGAGAAGAAGGTGTGATTTCAGATGGTGGAGAGTTGCATGGAATAGGAAAAGAATGCACAATGCTATGCTATGCTTTTCATACATTTCCCCCCATTTAATGCCATACCCCTATCAAGATGTTACTATTTTTATCATCTCCAATTCCAGAGGACAAAACTGGAAAACAGACAATAGGTGGTAGAGCTGAGGTTTAAAATCAGACATTGGTCTCTGGAGCTGGAGCTCTTGACAGTTGAACTAAAATTCTCTGGGTGATTTTCCTTTCCTAACACTCTGATTAGCTTAGCACATAGCTATGGTGGAGTTGTAATGTGAGGCTAGGCCAGGCAGACTCCAGTGCATGAGGAGATGTGCCATAGAAGAGTAGATGGAGATCTCTAAATGGATGAGTGATGTGGTTAACATAGAAGCATAGAAGATAACTATCCCCATACCCTGGTATTTAGATTTAATATTCTAAAAACCGAAGAGGAAAAAAATTATTCAAAGAAGTTAATTTTTTAATAGAAACAATTTTTTGCAACTTTGACAAAATTGTGATCTATACACACAGTTTTAAACTGTTAAATAATTTAGCAATAAATTCTGAAATGAGGATATATTACATATACCCACATCAACATTTTATAAAGCACATTGCTATTTATTAGTTATCATGCAATGTGTTTCAGCATATCTGTTTTTGATAGTCAAATAGATCATTTGAATATTTCCTTTCACATGTAATATACATAAACTCACATGATGCTGAGGCTGCCTCTAAGAATTTCTATTATTTTTCTTTTTTCCCCTTCTGCCTCATCCACTTTGCATTTATTTTTATATACTGTTCCCCATTTGACTATAAAGAAAAGATCCACAAGAGGAGGGCCATGCACTACACATTAACTCTTGTATGGTTGTGGTGCTTGACACATAGTAGGCATTGAATAAAGTTTGTTAAGTGAAAGCATTATATAATAATTCAGTTTATCTCATTATAAATAATGCCAAGCATATTGTGAAAAAGTAATTTTTAAACTAACCTTATTAATTGAAGTTAAAATACATCATGACAATAGCATAATTCATAAGCATACACTTGATGGATTATTATAAGTTAAACACAATGATATTAATGCCACTCAGATTAAAGTAAATAAAACCAATATCAGCTTCCCAGCAGCCACCTTATATGTCTCCTCCAGGTAACCACTATTCTGACTTCTACCTCTCAGTTAATTTGGTCTCTTTTCAAACCTAATATAATTAAAATCATAGAGTATATTTTTTCATGCCTCCTTTTATTAAACTCAGTTTTTGGGAAATTAATCTATATAGTCCAATGTAACAGTAATTAATTCCCTTTCATTATGAATAGAGTCCTACTATAACAATATATCATAATTTACTTATTTATTCTACTATTAATGGACTTTGGGTTGTTTCCAGTCTTTTCCCTATTATGAATAATGCCACTATAAATACTTTTATACATTTTGTTTGGTGCACATAGGTATATTTCTGCTGTGTTTATACCTAGGATTAAAAGTTTGGGTTCACTGGGCATGCATATTTTAAATTTTGGTAGATATTGCCAAATAGTTTTTAAAGTAGCTGTACCAGTTCATATTGTTGATGCCCTGCCGTGAAAGACCACCAGGAATACACCTGTGGTCAAACAAAATTAGGTTCATTGATTTGTTGCAACAACGGAGAATGCACACCATAGAAATTGTGGAGTGTTTCAGGAAAAAGGTGTTACAAAGACTTTTTGTAATATCTGTGCTTCTCTTGGGTGACTTTGGGGAGAGTCCCAGGAAGCCAGGCTTTGTTTTTGATTAGAGGCTATCAGGAAGTGGGGTTAATTCTAATTGGGCTTTTTAATAATTTTTATCCAGAAAGCAGGAAAAATGGATCAAGGCTAAACTGGAATTTGTGAAGGAGCAGAATTCACTCATATTAGTGGATATATTATTTTTATTTATAAGGCTTTTGTAACAAATTATCACAAATTGAGTGGCTTAAAACAATACAAATATATTTTCAAATTGTTTGGGAGGCC